GGAGCCAGAGGAACTTAATGGCCCTAAAGCTGCTGATCAGAGGATTGTAGCTTCATCTGGTCATACTGAGCTGAAATTGGGTCAGCTTCATGTGCCTCGATGTTGCCTCTTCTGTCTCCAGACATCTTCAGTCATGGAGAGAAGCTTGGGAAGCCAAATGCATCTGAGGAATGCAGTGCAGCTTCCCTGTCTCCTGTATTTTTGACTCGATTTACAAAATGAGATGTGATTGTCTTTACTTAGCAAAATCTGGTTTAATTCTGGTTTTTTTTTTTCTAAAGAGAGAAATATAGCAACTTGTTTAGAGAGCTGACAACCCGTCAAGTGTTTAGCAGCAAATGCAAGAGGGGAAAAAGGCCTTATGCCTTCTCAGTTTGGTGGGAGAGTAGCATTGTCTGCAAAAGGTATTCCACTCTTGTTTTTCCTGCTTTGTTGTTATACTGAAGACAGACCATTTCTTTGCATTTCTGACCTTATTACATATCTAGTCCATGCACATTTGTGAGTATGAATTTTGAGGCAGTGTCTGCTGGCTCTTCAATGACAACTCAAAGGAGCATGTGTTGCCCTAAATGATTTGCTTTGCACGATTTGTACCTGTGATCTCTAACACCCACATTCCCTCATGGTTTTTTGGTCTAGTTCTGTAACTCTCTTTTCACCCTGGTGCAGTCACTGCATGCACCATACAGCTGCTTAGCCAGGAACAGCTGAGGCTGCTTGGGGGGGCATGGGGGCAAGGGGTTTATATTCCAAGAGCTTCTTTGTGCTCTTGCAACATCACCCCAATTATTTTTCTTTGAAATAATGAATTTTTTTACTTGCGTAAATTCCTTGGCTTGAGCACYGTGAGATCAGCAAGAAGTGAGGAACTCTGCTGAAATCCAGCAGGCAATGCCCTCTGGATATGTGTGTACATTGCAAAGTCATCAGTCATTCAGTTGTTGACTCAAAGTTATTCTGGTTTGCCAGCGTGCTTGTTCCCTGCTGAGTTACAGCCACAGATAACAAAAGCGAACTTTGTATTCTTCAGAGTGTAGTCTTTTCCCGCATTTTATTTGTTACTGTCTTTTGTGGTTTGGTTTGGCTTGGCTTTGAATTTCCTTGGGGATGCTCTGTAGGTGGAAAAGGTAGTGCTCATAGAGTGAATTTTGTCCCAATTTCTCAAAATTACTTCTGATTGGAACAGTAGCATTTATCTCTTCCATTGTTCTGTTGGGACAGGGATCAACAAAGTTTGGGGAAGATTTAGTTAGTGCTGTTCTGGGATGTAGTTGTGGGGGGTGGGTGCCCAGAGGGTTCTCTGAGTACCAATGGAGCCATGTGGGKCAGGCTGGAAGTGTGATGGGAAGCCAGAAATACAGCTTACTGCTTGTGATTATAAAGGGCAGTTATTAAGCTGGGAAAAGTGATCTGCAAATAATTGTAACTCTTGTTCTGGATGAATGGGATTGGCTAAGGTGAAGAGGCAAAAATAATACACCTCCAGCTGGAGTTTCTGGTATTTAATACAGCACCCCAAGCCTCATCTGTACTGCATTAAGGTATTACTGCAGCTGGTTATCCTCTCTCGGGTTTTGGAAAGGAGYTGTTTGCTTGTCTGATACACTTATAACCTGTGCACTGTTTTTACTTCACACACACTTACTCTGCAGTCTGCAAAGGGATTTTTATAACTGGCTGAAGAACGCTGATAAGTATTTTAAGCTTGTAACCTAGTACTGAGTTCCTTAGGGGAGGGTATTACCAGGTGGCCTCCGAGGAGACAATGTTTAGTGAGAGGGAAAGGGGGGACAAATCACTTATGTACGAGCTTGGCACRTCCCCCTAAACCAGTGCTGGCCAATTCAGAAAGGCTGCCAGGTACTTTGGAAGAGGTGAGAGTAATTTCTTGGGTTTTGTTTTCCTCTGCAGTTGTTGCAGTCRAGTGGAACCTAAGTCAGCCATGATRGGAAGGACTTCTAGTGAATTGATGGGCTGGGGATACAAAACATCTCTTTGCACAGGGGATGCATGTTAATGCAACAGCTTCTAGGTACTGAGTGTGATCATTTGATCTTGCAAATATRTGTATTTCTTCAGTTGATTGAGATTAATATTTTGTTTGTCCTAAAACACTGAATTTTAGCTATAATTATAGTGTTTAATGATAGATACAATGGTGTTATATCTGCATTTGCAAAATTCAAGGAAGGTGTTCATTCTTTGGGGGTGATTATTATAACTGCAAAATTATTACTAAAGGTAGGAAAAAGGTGGGAAAAAACCTTGTATAATAAATGTTTAGGTTTTGTGTTCATTGCTGTTACTCCTTAGTAGTTTATTTAAAACAGTATATGCACACATGATTGCATGAGTAATTAATTCTCAGAGTCACTTCTTAGGCTGTAAAATAATGCTTATAAACCCTGGGCTTTGAAAAGGGACAGCAAACATAAACTGCACTCTTTAAAATGTGAAATGATGGAGTTTTTTTCATTTGTGCATTAAATGTGGCTTTCTGAATCTCTGCCCATGACCTGTGAACTTTACAAAAGTGACTTTATTTTGGCATTGTGTAGTGGGAGTGCAGATTGCCAAGCAATGCTCTGAGGTGAGGCACCTATAGTGTCTTTGAGGGAACCCAAATCACTTGATTTAAGTTGAAGGATATGGGGTTTAAAGGAAATCTTTGCTGTCTACTCTAGGGAAGTCTCTTGCAGGCAGAGTATTTCAAGTCTTCCCTTGCTTTCCCCCTTTCTCCCACTCTTGTCAACTGCAGCTTTCAATGGTTAATCTACAACATATGCCAAGAGTGACAGTAAGAGTGTGATAAAGGCTCAGACAAACTTGTAGAAGTGCCTTGCAATTTGGAACTTTGGGAATAGTCTTGGAACTTGGCTTGGCTGAACAACACAAATTAATATTGCCAGTTCCCTGAGGAGAACGTGGGGCTCCTTTCCTGAGCAGCCGATGCTCAGAGYGTTGTGTTGCAAAGGCTGTGTTGGTATTGCACAGGTCACCTCCTCTCCTGCCCTGATTCTTTCAACTCCTGCTAAACACACTTGGAAGAGGAAGTGATAAGGAAAGAGCCAAGTCAGCCTGTGCTGTGCATGCACAGAGTGAAATGAGAGAGAGGCCCTGGCAGAGCTGGTGTTGGCTGGACATGGGTCATAGTCGCTTGTACATAGGGCTGGTGGGGCTGCTGAGCTGCCTTTCCCTGCCAAGACTTCTGTTGTCAGCTCAGATTTGGAAATATTTCTAGCTGCCAGGTGGGATGGTGCAGGCATGAACTGGCTGCACTGAGAAAACCTGCTCACACAAAATGAGCGTGATGCTGTGCACACTTGCTCCGGGGAGAAAGCTGCAGAGGGGTGCATGAGCTGAGGCCAGCTGTGCAAGGGCCCTGCAGTCATTCTGGGCTTCYCATCTCTCTGCGAGAGCAAAAGATAATAAAAATGCTCCATCTATTTTCGACAGGTAAAATAACCCTTTTCACTAGAATAAATAGGCAGGAAGGAGACTGAGTTGCTCAGGGAACTGGAAAGTTGACTAGGAAATCAAATTGAACTAGTGAATTTGAGGCACTGCATTTTAGTATCAAGTTTTGTCCTCATCTTTGGATCTTTGACAGTTCAATGTGGACCTGTATAGTGTCTGTCCTCTGAGARCCTTGGGGCAGCTGTTCATATTTCACCCCTTTTCAGATAGGATGGTTTTGAAGTTAAAACTCTGTTGCCCTTCTGGGGCTTTAGGATATAGCAGAAGGAAAAATTGGAAACAAAAGTTTAATGGTACAAAGCATCAAAATTTTGCAAWCTGAGTCAAAGCAAATAAACAGTATTTGGGTTTTTTTTTGAGGAAAAATAGCTCTTAGATTCCTAAATTCACAGGCATGGTTGAAATTGGAGTTGAGAGCTGAGGCTGAGACTTCTTGCATGGATGGCTAAATCAGGGTCTTACGCACATTTGTGAGGACTGCTAGATGTTCTTCACTGTGGTATTTATACCATTCACACATGCTGCTCATTCTGTGTTGTGAACTGCCTKTGCAGTCATCACATCCATCTCTGAGATGTCACACAAAGCTAAATCTCAACACGCTTTGAAGGCTGTCACATTTCTCTTCATAGCTTCAGGATGGGGAGCTAAAGCTTGCTTTAGTGATGAGGAAGAGGGTTGCCCTTAGAAATTACTTAGGGAAGAGACTTACRATAGGTTTGGCTCAGACTGAACTGTTTGGAAGCTCATATGAAGCTCTAAAACCTTACAGACAAGAAGGCAAATCCAAATAGAAGCTACTAATCTGCTCTGATGTCAGTGGGAGCTGGTTCAGTGTCTTCAGTGATGAAAGCCCCTCCACTGGGTCCGAGTCTCATGTGTGCATTGATAATGAAGGAAAAACATTATCTATTGTTTTGTGTGGGGTAATGACGACTTACTGTGGGTGTGAATCTTCTTTGCTAACAGCTATCTGTGTAATGTCTTGGAAGACCTGAAATAGTGGGTTTTTGCTTGTTCTCAGTCCAAATTTCTTTTAGCTTTCTGCTRTGAGCAGGAAATTCAAAGCAAAAATGAACCTTGGTTGCCTAGTTTTGACTGATGTGGTACCCAGGCAGGGGCAGGACTATAGTTCCCCATTTTATCAGAGTGTTCAAACTGGTGAAAACCCTTCTGCTGAGCTTGGGAACAACATTAAGGGTCCCAGAATGAGTCCAAAGGCATCATGTCTATGCTGCCATACACTTGTGGGCTTTGAGATTGACTTTGTACACGTGGCTTTTGACTTAGGCTGTTCTTCTCTCCCCCCTCTATTGGGACCTGAGGGAAGAAGAGCAAAGTACCTTTTCCAAAGAAAGAGTCTCTCTGGGAAGTCTTTACTCCTATTGCCTCTGAGCTCTTGCTTGTTAGTGATGTGTAATGATGCTTGCCTGCCTTTGATATGTTTTTTTTTCCCCATTCTTGCTCATAGGGATATAAATTCATGTGTTTGGTTTGTTGTTTTTTTTTTTTTTTAATAGGTATATTGCAGTGGACCTGAAGTTGATATAAGAAAGAATTTCTTTTGGGAAGAGAAGCTTCCCTGTAAGGCCAGCCCTGAAGATGTGGACTGCCATTGTGTTCTTCCTGCTGATTTCCTTCTGTATATGTGAACASCGGTTTTCTGTCCTGAAAGGGAGAGGCGTTCATGTGGTGCAAATAAACAGGCTTACAAGTGAAGAGCAATGCAGGCAGGCTTGTCAGAGCCCCGGTGCCTCAGGTGAGGTTCTTGTCCCTTGGATGGAATTCCAGCTGCATTTTCTGCTCCTTGAAGGTCTCTGCTGCTCCTTTGACAACTTTCTTTTTTAATTCCAGTTGTTTACAGGCATTTACGGTTATAGCTTCTCTGTGCAGTGCAGTGGTGCTGAAGAACTTCTGGCAGCTTTTGTTAAATTGAATCCAGGACAAACTGTTTCCCAGGGCCCTTCTATTGTGTTTCTGTTGGTGTGCACTGATGGCGTGCAAGCAGTGTTAGATCTGTTGAATTGAAGAATGATTATTCCCTGCTGCCAGATGTTTGCAAGTGAGCAGTGCTGTTGTAGGCAGCTGCACTRGAACAAGTAGTCTTTGCTCCCTGATCTTTGTGTCTGTTCTCTGCCTTAGAAGAAACCACTTTGTCCTGCAACCGACCACAGCGTTAAATCTGTTGGGATGAAAGCCTTCTCACCACCTCAGAGATGTCTTTATAAAGCATTAAACTTCTAAAAGAGTCTTTGAGTTGTCCTTATGAAGGCCCCAATCCTGTCTAGCCAGATGAGGAAGCTTGTAGCACCTACACAAAGCTCATGATGCTGTGGTGAAGATGAGAGGCTCACCTTGGCTCAGGTGGATGAGTATTTGACTTTCAGATGGTTAGGAATATTATAAACCACTGTTTTTAATGGCCAATGKTTTCAAACCTTTTGTTTAAACATGAGGTATTCCTTCATAGTGGAAATAAAGTAYCTTTATCAGTTGTTTTATTTAGGAGATAAGAGTGAGTTTGTCCCCCAAGCCCCAGAGCAGTGGAAACTCCAGGCTGTGTTTTTTGAGGTGGTAAACCCAAGACAGATGACATGACAGTCATGTTCACCCTGACTGCTTAGGGTCTGTAGCACTGCRTGCTTGTCTGCTTCACCTGAGAATCTCTAAACGCTGTGCACTTGTCGTGTTAACCTTGTATCTCAGTAAGGGTAGAAAAGATGTCATCAGCTGCCTTTTCCATAAGAGAGACATAGGAATTCAGTTTGTCTGYGATCAGGGCTGCAACATGATTAGGCTGCATGGTTGCCCTCTGTTGCTGACTTTAGCCACTTTTTTATGCCTTTACTTTGTTCTCTCCTGACATTCTTGAACAAAAGGCCAGTTGAGTGTTAGCTTTCTTGAGCAGAAGGGATTGAACCTCTAGAATTAGGTGACCCCATTCCATTTTCAGAGAACCATGCAAAACTAAACTCAAAAGCATAAACTTTTCCAGGTTTTGCATTCTGTACTAAACCTATTCGAGCAGTGTAATTCCRTTTTGTTACTTGACGGCCAGTCTGTTGCACTACCTGATGTCAGGGGAGGTGGAAGAGATAGAAACTCTTAACATAAATGTATAACCATGTGCAAAGAGTTCATCTGGGAAGAAGGACCTGAAGCAGCTTTTTTATTCTTAGCTTTAGGTTTTAAGCTTTACTGTTTCATTGCTTTACTGATTACATTCTCCATTCTCATCTTCCCCAACAAYGTTTATTTTTGTGCTTTCTGTCAAAAATGCAGACATGAGACTGAGGCTTAGATGTCAGAATAGTTACACAGATGTAGCTGTCAGTAAAGAAGCAGTGGTTATTTTTTAAGGTATTACAGTGTGAAATTGCAGGCCAAGATTGAATGGATAGRTGTCTTCATAGCTACATTGCTTGGAGAAGTGAAAAAGTATTTCTAGCTGGTTAGGTACTTTCCTGTAGATACAATTTGTATCTTTGCTGASATAACATCGGTTACTTAAAGAAGTACTGTAGCTGCCACAGCAGGAAGGGGCCTCTTGAAGTTCTCTGGTCCAAACCCAACTTCAATCTGTCTGTTCAAGACCTCACACAGAAAGCAGCCCCTCTCTGGTCCCCTGCCTGGTGTTTGAGTGCCCTTGTGCTGGAAACTCCCCTTGATGTTGAGATTTCCAGTAAATCATCTGCTTCAGCCCTTCTGACACTAGTAGTCTCCCTGGGACTCATTCCAGTATTTTTATACCACCCTCATATACAAGCGAGTCCAAAACTTGGTATGCTGTTTAAAATGCTTCCTCAGCATTGGTTGGAGGAAGTTGATTCCTTTCCTGAAAGCTTGATTTTGTGTGTGTGGACATGTCCAGAAAGAAGTTAGTGCGTTCAAAGGGATGCTTCAAGGAGAGTTCTTCTGTGAGTACTCTGCCTTGTGTTGGGAATTGACTTAGTAGAGGACAGTTTCTGTGCTGGGTCCCATGGCTAATGGTATTGTTCCATGAATGGCAAGTAAATTCCTGTGTAACTCCAAGTACTGACTGTAGAGCACTGTTTGTCCCTATCTGGGCGAGTGAATTTCTGTTGTCAGGAGATGCTGGTACCAGAGGACAAGCAGCTGGGTAGGCTGCATCGGCTGTATTGGTTTCATTGGCTTTCCCTGACAAAGTCAGGATCCTTTGAGGCTGGACCTTCCAGATGTTGTGTGGTCTGGGATTTTTTTTGTTTGTTTGTTGGGATTTTTGATTGTTTGTTTTTTGTTTTGTTTTTTTTGTTCTTTTTTTAAATTCTTTAATTAGAGACACAAAGCAGCGTGTTTGGTATCCTGTGTGCTGCAATCCATTTTCTCTGCTGTTTTCAGGGAGCTGTCGCTGTAATTGGTCTGTGCCCTACCAGAATCACTGCCTCCTCCTGCTGTGCCACCAGCTGAGTGTGTGCCAGAATGCCAGAGAACAAGACATCCAAGATCTGCTTGCAGGTAAAACCATCTTTCAGTCTCCTGGGAAAACCAGGATCCTGGTTCTTCTGCTTTAAATGCCCRCGTTTAACCCTTGATAGACTTTCAGCTGCAGGAGGTGGGTTGTGAAATGCCTGCGGGGTGATTCTGTAGGTGCAGTTCACTGGAACAACCATTTCCCTTTGTCCTAGGGGCTCTGGCACTTGCATGAGTGCATGATGTGTCTTTGAATAGCTTTTGTAACACTTACTGAGTAACAGTTTGTCTCCATGTTGAAGACATCATTCATTCAAGCCGTTTGCACGCCACACGCTGTCCTAGTGAAAATAAAGGCATAACAGATGTATTTATATTTTTTTTCAGAGAAAGGAAAAAGTCCTGGCATTTTTTTTCTCTCAGATTGCCAGGATTTTGTTCCAGAGTCAACAGACTGCTTCTATAATCAGAACAGCAATTGCTCATGGTGACTTTCCAGTGCCAGGGTATTCAGTTTTAATAAAGTGACAGAATAACAAAATGGAGCTTATTCATAATTGGGAAATCAATCTTCTAAAGTTTGTTTCAAGAGTTCACTGTACCCGAGTTAAAAAATTGTTCATGGTTCTTTTGGGTTGGCAAAGGTTTCTCTGCAGTGTAATAACTGGACTTGTGATAAGYAGATGGGATTTATGTCACTATAAATCTAGCTCACCAATTGTGAAGGAAATTATCCTGATGTATGAAGGTGTAAGTGGCAATTTCTGCTCAGTTTTGACAGGTGAAAATTATGAATCTAAGAACAAAGGCTTTGTTGTTGATGTGTAACTTTGAAAGCATGAGTCTTCTTCTCAGGAGCTGACATTTGTAAGACTGCTCCTGTTGCTAATGTGCTTCTGCATTTTAGCCCTCTACRTCATTACTCCCCTTTTGTGAAATTAACTCCCTGGTTGGGCAAGTACTAGAGGTCTGTGGCAAGAAAACCCAACTCGAATCAAAAAATTCGGAAGGGATTATGTGTAATAAAGGCAGAAGGTTCTTGAGTTTTCATGTTCTTGCTAAATTCAGGACTGATGTATTCCACTCATACTGTGTGCCTGCAGAGTATGTGTTCTGGTTTGCATGTTGSGAGGTTGAGGTTAGGTTTGAGCCTGAAGAGTTTTTTCTTCTTACAAAACTCATTTTTTTTGTCTTTTTGAAGAATTTGTCAGCAGTAAATGGGAAACAGCCCTGTTTCAGCGCCAGAGCCATCCACAGAAAAGAGAGAGCATGCTGAATGCACAGAGGGACCAGCACAGTGTGGAAAAYCCATTTTCCTCAACTGCTCAGACTCACAAGATTCATTTGAGGCATTTGCTTGAGTTTGAGGAGAATGAGAACACAACAAGTACGGAAAATCCAAATGCAAGCAATGCTACCACCGCCGCTACCAACACCACTACAACCACTGCCCCWACCATAACAACAAACATTGCAAATGCACCTTTCTCTACCACTTCTGAAAAAACTGCCAAAGCCTCAAGCACCCCTGGAAGTTCTGAGACCTTTTCTAAAGCCATGTCACCCTCTGCCTCTTCTCCCTTTCATGGTAGCATCTCTGCTTCCACCTCCAGCCATGTCACCCAGACGGTGACCACCAGCCAGAAACCAGGAAATAATATTTCTGTCTCAGTATTGTCCCCCACTTCTGCTCCCCTCACTGTTCCCTCTGAAGCAGGTACCCAAACTCAGCAGCCTGGGCTGGGTACCACCAACATCAGTGCTCCCCACCCTCTCAGCCCCACCACTGCTGGAGCTGGCCTGAAAACACTGACCACAACACTGACCACCCCCATCCCACAGGATGAAGGAGCATCTTCCACTGCTTCCACACATGCCACGGCTCCCGTCCCCACGGAGAGTTCTCACTCTGCCAGTCCAGAGCATGCCAGCACCTTGCCACATCTAAACCCAGAAGCAAGTACAACCATAGCAACCTTGAGTGAATCAACTTCTCTTCTGGGCTCTACAAGAGGTGCTGTGGTTTTAACTACAGCCTCTACAGTAGAAACTACGACTGAGCATGAGATAAAGTCAACATCTGATGTCTTTTCAACAGCCATGGCTTCAACRGGTGCAGCCAAAACAGCATCTTCGGGCCTCACAAAAGCTCAGGACACAGACAATGAGTATCTTCTCATTGCTGCCGAGCCCCTGACTCAGTACTTAGTGGATAAAAGTTCACTTCTTGCAGTRCTTTTAGTTGGTACATTCTTTTTCATAACTGTTATAGTTCTTTTCCTCACCCAGGCCTATGAGAGCTACAAGAAGAAAGATTACACGCAAGTGGATTACCTGATCAATGGAATGTATGTGGACTCAGAGATGTGAAGAGGTGGGGATAAATAGTGGGCAAGAGATGGAAAGGAGGTTTAAAGTCTACCTGACTCGTTTTTCCTTTCTGTCTGCCCATAACGCAAACTGAAAGTGCTTCCAAATTTACTTCTAGTGCAATTGAGGAGAAATGCCATGTACTGTATTAAGAAAAAATAATAATTTTTTTATTCAACTGTGCAACAGGTACTTTAAAACCATTTAAAAAAGGAATAATTTTTAACATTTTCATAATGCACAGTAGCTTTGGCCATTATTTTTCATTGCAAAACAAATCTAACAAGGTGTAAGTTTCCATCTTCTGAAAATGCTGTAGCGCTTTTCAGCTGTTTACAGTGCAGGTTMTTTGTGTTTCATTTGTTTCAAGTGTGCTTCTCTGAAAACAGAGCAAAGGATGCTGTCACCTTTTGTGAAGTGCTCCCAAGCAGCCAGATGAGAAGTGTGGAGTACTATTACAACAGGGGACTTTTAATCCAGTGTGTGTCATATTTCAGTATGCTTCTTGCTTATGAAGAGGTCTGTTTACAAAGTATTGTAAACTCTGTTTACTGCTAACCCGAGGTATCTCTTCACCACGGAGTGGATTACTGTGCCTCTGCACTTAAATGATCTTATTTTTATATTCAGTTAATAAATGGGGCCCGAGAAGGGCAGATCTTCTTGTGTTTCTCTTTTCATTCCTGTCCCTGCCAGTTCAGAAGCAAGCAAATGGGCTTTTGGGGCTTAAGCAAATTAGCCTCACTTAAGTATTCCAAGTGTGGGGGCTTTGAAGAYCTTGCTGAAAGCATGGACATGTCACAGAGGATACTGATCATCTTCCAGAATACTGCTTCTATAATTTGAGACCATTATGCTGCCAGTCTCCCAGGTACGCAGACCCACTTACTGCTTATTATCTTCCATGCTTAGAGCATCAGCCTCTATTTGGGTTTTTCTTTTGCATTTAGGACCAGCACCAAGTTTTAGCATTTTGGAAACTTAATTGCTCATGCAGTTGCAACTTGCCTCCCAAGATCTGCAGCTGGGAGAATGAGTAGACAACATTTAATTTTTAGGCAAATATTCTTCAACGATTAATGCATCWTATTTGGATGACATATACATACCAACAGCAGAGTGCTGGACTAAGGTTGGGGTTTTTTTAACCATGTTGATAGCTGGTCTCTCACTTGGAATTAGTTGTCTCTTCTTTAATCCATCTTGCATGTAGTCTTGAGTGATGGTAATAATAAGCAAACCTCAGAATTTGAGCAGCAGAGGTTTCAGTTTGATTATTTATCCAAATTCTTTGGCTGCTTAGAATTTGGAGGGAGTCTTTATCCTGGCAGAGGCTGCTTTGTAGACGACTTCATCATMAGCTGAAAGTGCTGAGAAAACGGCTGCAGAGCGCACAGGCAGCAGCACAGCCAAGGGGTTGTTGGAACAAAATAGGCTGGAGAGATTTTCCTGAATCTTACCCAACACAAATAYTGAGGGCAAAACTTCAGCACGTAGAGTGTGTTGAGGAAAGAGATTGCTTTGGGAGCAAGATGACCTGGTTTTCAGCATGAGGGTGCATATAGCAGTACTTTCGCATGATCCTCGTCTGCATACCAGTAGGCAATAGGTTAGAGCATCTCTCGGGGTAAAGGGATRGTGTGGTTTGGGGAGTCTCCCTCCTTGGAAAGTTTGAAGTATAAGCCATAGAATTTACTCCATATTTGGGGAGAGGGGCAAGTTTTGAAGGTCTCAGTTTATTGTATTTTTAGATTGCTGTTAATTGGTTTGCCCTGAGCAGAAGGGAACAGAATCCTGATTCCTGCCATCTTCCAGGAGCCCCCCATGTACAAACAGGGTGCTGGGAACATCCCCCAGCACAGCTGGGGAGTCGCACCCTGTTGAGGTGCTTGGGACTGTTCTCCTCTCAGCACAACTGTGTTGAGCTGTTAGCAGATGTCTGGCAGATACTGTTTTACATCCACAAGGTCCAGAGATTTATCTTTACATAGGAATCTCGGGTTTCACCTTAATTGCAGGTGAGTCACTAACCACAACCTAAGCATGTGGTCTTGAGCTCTGCTCCAGATACTGAGATAAGAGCTGTCTGCTGGCTCCCTGCCGTCTCCCAAGTAGGGAGATGAGCTTTACCTCAGATGCAACTCCTTCTCATTTAGGCAGCTCGGATAAATGCATTTTGGTAGGATGAATACAGGCAATAGTGCTCTTCCTTCAGATTTATTCCTGCCTTTAGGAAGTGCCTTCCTACACAAAGGGTCRGTGTTGCAGCTGTTTTGCTGCTTCACAATTTTTTTTTTCCTAAGTTGCCTGAGCTGTTTTTACAAACCATGATCATCCGACTTATAAATGTTTATCCTGGAAATGGTGAAATTTCTGATGAACTTTGCATACACTGCGGGCTTTTATCTTTTGGTCACTGTGGATTTGTTCATAGAGCTGAATTTGGATGCCAGATTCTGTGGAGTGGAAATTTGACAAGTTGCATCCGTCTTTATTTTCCTCTTTGAAGAAGTTTTAGATGCCTGTACTGATTTCTTGAAGAGACTAGGAAGGGAAGGGAGAGGAAAGTGACGTTACTTAAAAGAAACTCTTGAGTTTTCTAAAAACAGATAATTTTAAAGACTGGTATATTAAAAACAAATAAAACCCTGCAGGGATAATTTACATGGGTATGATATAATTGGAGTTGGAATTGGGTTACAGCTCTGTTTAGAGGAGTCTTGGGGAGTTTCTCATGGACGTAGTGAGAATATTACAACTACATCATGGCTAAATTAAACCACCACTGTAAAAATCTTTGTGGCTTTTTAGCAGGTCCTTACAGGAAGGTGAGTGCTCATAAGAATCTTGATGCAGTTCCCACAGCCCTGGCATGTTTACATCCAGCTCTCCTCTCAGATACTGGCACAGCCTGTCTTTTTTGTTCTTATTTGAGTTACTGCACTCACAGGTGTGAATTACTTTCTCAACAGAAACTGAGCTGAACACCAGAATGAGTCTTAGCTCTGTGCATTCCTGCAAGCATTTCTGCACAGAGTGGTGCAGAAAGATGGAGATCTTCGTTTGCCATGCAATCATGGGATGGTTTGGGTTAGAAGGAGCCTTCAAAGGTCATTTAGTTTTAAGCCCCCTGCCATGGCAGGGACATCTTCAACCAGAGGAGGTTGCTCAGAGACCTATCTAACCTGACCAAGAAGGTTTCCAGGCATGGGGCAACCACCACCTCTCTGAGCAACTTGTTCAAGTGTTTTAGCACCCTCATAATGTAAAATGTCTTCATTACATCTAGTCTGGATCTCCTTTTTTTAATTTAAAACCATTACCTTTGTCCCGCCTCAGTGGTGCTCAAAGTGCAATGCCAGCTATGTTTTTCTATGGTGTACTGTTGAAATAATTAATAGCATCTTGGGGTAGAAAATGCAGCACCTTTGTAAGTTTGCTTGCAGATTTCACAATATAACAATAGACAGGGTCCTAGCAAGTTATCTAGAAGACATCTGCCAGGGAAGTGCCAAGATCAACATTCTGCTGCTGTGAAGCCTATCTGATGCATATTGGGTTTCAACCTGTTTTATGGCCCAAAACAGGAACATCCTGGAATTAAATTTGAATTAGATTAGTTCTAAATGCCACCTCCCTTTTGTTTAATTACCTGTATAAGGTGTATGTTGCTCTAAACAGAAGAGCAGAAAGGAAATAATGGAATATTAAAACATTTAAAGGAATAGTAGGAATGAAGAACTTTTAAATTGCAAATATGAGTCTGCAATCTGCCATGCAGTGTCCAGACAATTAAAGACCATATGCAGAACTCTTAAGCATGACCTTTAAAGCAGCTAATGCATGTAKTTGGAATATGCTCAGGAAAGTCTGGAAATGGAGGTAGCATTCAGTTGGTTTCTCTGGATTTGGCTGGTGGCTGCTCATTTTTGGCATCAAAAAAGTAAACCTGAGCCCTTCTCTGCTGAAGCATTTGTGAGGGCTTTTTCCACTGTAGGCCCTCTGGTATGCAGTAAAGGCAAGTGTCCTTATTTCAGCTGGGGGAGAGTCCTGTTAGTAACTGGTACAGTGCTGTGTTTTGGATTTAGTATGACAAAAATGTTGATAATACTCTGATATTTTAGCTGTTTCGAGCCAGCGGCTGCTTGGTGCTTAGTTGCCAGCTGGGGTTAAGCTGCGACAACAAATTCAGATTGCAACATCTCCCGGACCAGGGCAACTCCAGCTGCCTCCTTTCCATGGCCTCTAAGACTCAGGAAACTTCACTTCCTTTGTTGTGCTTGGCTGAAGTTGGCCTGTGGGTTCAAAAGCAAATGCTTTCATCGTGCACGGAGTACGGGCTCGTAAGATTGTGCTTTTCTAGAAGAAACCAGGCTAAAGAGCAGCAGAGCCTAGAGCTGTATTGATTCCTCTCTGCAGGAAGGACTAGGTAGTTCGGGATTAGGGATTGCTTTGTCTTTTTGGGCTTGCTGGATAACTGGTTATTGTCGGGAAAGCTGGTTTTTGCTCTGCAGCGTTTGGCGTCGATGTCCTTGTAGTTTCACGTCCTTGGATCTTGTCTTTCTGTRCTGCTGCTGAGCTGGGTGATGCATTTGGAGCAGCCCTGCCTTGGCTGAGAAATGCCAGCAGGTTGTGCTGCGGGGCTCCACAAGAGCTCACCCGTTCAGCCTTCCTCTGGCAGGAAAGCCCCAAAGGATCTGGAAAAGAGTCTGCCTGACCTGGGGCTTCCTGGTTAGGCCTGGGTGATGTTAAATTTGTGCTTTGGCTGGAGTTCTGTTTGCATTGCGATATTAGAAGGAGAGGTCCCTTGCGAGCACACAGACCTTGCCCAATGTCCTGCTGGCCCAAATTAAAAGCTGTTTGGACTAGATTGTACAATCTGAAAAAGCAAACAACTTGTCTTCACAAGAAGTGGCTAAATTATTTTAACTCYTTCAAGCTGGGATGGGTGAGACCAATTACCCTGGTTTTGAGGGTCATGGACTTATGCAACTTGTTTCTGTTCTTTATTGCATGCAGGTGATGTAGCCAAAGCTTGTGAGTGTGAATAGTGTTACATCTTTCGTATAAATCTGTTAACATTAAAAGATGGAGAAGAAAGGAGGGATTTCTTCAGCTGGGAAAAGCTCACATTTAGAAGTGACTATCATGGCTAGTTAAAAAAAAAACCAGCCAATCAAGATTTAATCACTGAAGTTAAAATTAATCTCTGCTTTGAGATTTTGAGATTACAGCCACTGCTACAGATTGACAAGTGGGAATTTTCAGAAGTATCTATGTTGTGATTTCTCAGAAGTGCTGCACCCACTATAGGCATTTTTCTGAGCAACTTTGCTCATCCTTGGTCACTGCAGTTAAGCTGAAGTCAGCAGCTGACTGATGACAACGTGAGCTGTACCACAGGGCAGAAGCTCCCCTGCTCTTGGGAAACCAAACCCWTTTACTGCAGTAGAGGAGTGGGGATGTGCACAGGGGCTGAACCCTTGTGTCATCAGGCAGTCACAGGAATWTCCTTAGTCTGGTGTGGCATCTTGTGTGATCCAGGTGCTGCCAGCAAGCATTTGAACCTGTGAAATACCAGAAAAGAGAGTTTGCTCAGGGAGGAGGCTTTGCTGATGCTGGTGCATGGTGCAGTACTGTTAGGGAGCAGCTGAAATCCTTGCTG